GAAACTTTTGGAAATGTGTGGAATTTTGAAATCTGCAGATAACAGTGATGCTTCTTCTGTCTGAGTCAACATTTCCTCAACAATCTCACCTGCATTCTTTCCCCGTACATAGAGTAGAAGAAAGTTTATCCCTCTCTGATCTCTGGTTTACCATTTTCAATTGACTGCTAGAAATCCTTACCTGGATGTTCACAGGCACCTAAGATGCAATCTGCATAGAACTGAACTCGTCTTTCTTTCTAAACATGCTTCTCCTTCTAGTTAAAATGACACTAATACATTCTTTTCCTGTTCATAATTTTACTATTGTCACCTTGGATACATGTTCTCAAATTGTATTTGATGTCTGCTTTCTCAGATCAAATCACTTTCCAAAGCATGTTGATATAACTCTGAAATGATCTTATATCATATTCTGTCCATTTTCACTGCAATGAGCCTAGCAGCAATTCATTCATTTGTTTATTCAGCTATTAGGTCCTCCACCAAGCATTTATTCATCCAAATTCTTATAGTAGCTTATCTGACCTACTTACTACATGTATAATCTTTAATCGTAAAATACCATAATATGTGTTTGTCAGTTATTTCTTTGACTTCTAAAATTCATAGATTCATGTCCTCTCCTTCTCCCAAGGATTAGAGTCATGGTCTGCAAATTTTCTGGTCTCAGGACCCCTTTACAGTCCCAAATATATTGAAGATGTGGGTTATATTTATCAATATTTAATCCACGAGTATTTAAAACTGATAAAAGTTTAAAATATGTATTTGTTTATCCATTTAAAATAATATTCTACTTGTTAATGTAAATCATATTTTTATAAGAAAAGTTACATTTTCAAAATAATAAATAATTTAGTGAGAAGAGTAGCATTATTACACATTTTTCTAAGCTCTTTAATACCTGACTTAGTATAAGACTGATGGATTCTCATATCCTTTTGCTTTGAGTTTGTTATATAGTTTTAGCTAAAGTATATAAAGAAAATCCAACATGATATGAATTTAGAAAAGAGAGGAGTACTTTAATCGTAATTTCTGAGCATTA